CGTGCATGCTAGGGAAGTGCTCTACCACTGAGCTACATCTTTATTTTTTTAATCTTACAACTTCTGCTTTAGATTCACCACAGACCCATTATGGCTTTGATTCTACTCCATTACCTGAAATTCTCTGGGCTTGTCAATTCCAATTGCAATTTCTTTGCCAATTAATGTGATGAAGTTTTAAGCTCATACATCATCTATAAAGTTCACTAAACCTCAAGAAGAATATGTACAAAGAAAACTACACCAAGCGACATGATTAAATGGCTGAAAAACAACGATAAAATAGGAAAACAAATGCAAAAACTTGATGCAAAGAAGGAAAAAAATGTAAGCAGACAAAGTCAATATACAAAAGCCAACTTTTTATTATTCTTTCAGTATACTACTAGAAAATAATGTTTAAAACAATAACACAATAGCATCAGAATCATGATCTAGAGATTTTACTGTCAAGTTTTTGTTTAAGAAAAATGAAGACCTATGCTCATACAAATATTTGTATTAGAAGAACAAGTGGAAATAACCCAACAATCCATCAACAAGATGAGGTTTTAGGTATATTCATATAATGCAATAACATACCTCAATAAAAAGAAATGAACGACCACTACAACTAATGACACAAGAAAATGTGAAATACTTTTCAGGTAAAAGATAACAGAAAAAAGTTCACAGCCTATAAATCTGCTTAGACACAGACACAGAAAAGGCAAAGGTAATGTAAAGAGAAAAAATTAAGACTAGTAGTTGCTAAGACACACGGGTAAGGGAGTTCACAGGTATGGCAGGTAGGCCAGGAGGGAGCTCTCTGTTTACGACTGGAGTGGATCTACATTTTGAAAGGGGTGTGTGCCTTTGTCAAAACTGATCAAACTGTTCATCTGAAATTGATACTATATTAAAATCACATTGCACATATGCCCAGCATGGTGGCATGTGCCTCGCTAGTCCCAGCACTCAGAAGGCTGGAGTCCAGCTTGAGCAACACGGTGATATGGCTCCTCAAAAAAAAAAGAAAAAATATATATGCACATATATACTATATAGTATAGATATAGATGCGTCTGATTTTAAAGGATGAAAAAGGAAAACAAAAAGTAGGAAGCACTGGGATTCCATTTCAAATATTTAGATAATGTGATCTGCATTTGAGACGAAAACTAGATTCCAAAAATTGAAGCATCCATTAAGTAAATGTCTGTTAATCATGTGCTCATCAACCTTTTTTTAGCCCCAAAGGAGCTATTTAGTAATTCAGTCATTTATGAAAGCTAACTGCAGTAGTTTTCAAGCATATCAAAAAAAGGTGATTTATAAATTCGAACATGACTGGTACCTAACACTTTAAATAAAGATCTACCACTATAATCATTACTTTTTGTTCACAATTTTCATAGAAAGTGATTTTGATAGAATATTGATATCAATGCTCTAAACAAGAAATGAAATAATAAATATTAGGACTGGGGGTATAGCTCAATCACAGTGGGCTTGTCTAGCATTGTGAGACCCCAGGTTCAATTTGTACACTGAGAAAAGCAAAAGAAAGAAAAAGTACATGAAAGAAATAATAAAGATTAGAGCAGAAACTGAGGAAATACAAGACTATTAAAATATAGAAATTTAATGAAACCAAAAGTTAGTTAAGTCGGCAAACCTTTGCACTAACCAAGAGGAAAAGAGAAAAAATTTAAATTAGTAAAATCAAGAATGAAAAGTCACTGCTACCAAGCTAACAGAAACAAAGAGGATTATAAGAAAATACTACAAGTGATTTTATGCCAACAAATTACATAACTAGATAAAATGGACACATTCCTAGAAAGATGCAAAGTATCAAGATGACTCTTTAGGAAACAGAAAATCTGAATAGACCTCTAATAAAAGATTGAGTTAATAATCATCACCCTCACAAAAAACCCCAGGGGCAGATGGGTTCACTGCTTAATTTTACAAAATGCTTAAAGATGAATTAACACCAGTCCTCACAAACTCTTGCAAAAAAACAGGAGCTAGAATTTGTAACTTATTCTACAAAGCCAGTATTTTTCTGTTACGGTTTTTCAAGGTACCCGTCCCCCAAAGTCTCATGTCCACAACAGGTGCAGCTTTCGGAAGGTGACTGGATTAAGGAGGCTTATGACTTGCTATTACCGTGTGGGGGACAGTTGAAAGAGGCTGGTCACTGGGGGAGTGGCCTGAAAGGGTTTAACTCCTCTCCAGTTTGTTTTCCCCCTTGGTCTCTCAGCTTCCTCGAGGCCACGCCCATTCCGAGAGCAGTTAGTTCTTCTCTACCGGCCCTTCCCCCACGCTGCTCTGTCTTGGAGAGGCCAATTATGGATTGAAACCTCCACAAACTGTGAGCCAAAATGAAGCTCTCCTCCTTTAAATTGCAGGGGTCAGTAATTTGTCCCAGCGACAAAGAAAGTGGCGAAGACATATTGTAATACCAAAACCATCATAAAAAGAAAATTGGATCAACATTCTTTGTAAAATACAGACACAGAAACTGTCAATGAAACGCCTGCAAGGCAAATCCAACAAGCTATTAAAAGGATTATATACAATGACCAAATGGAATTTACCTCAGGAATGCAAGATGGGTTCAACAACAACTAATACAGCAACAACAAAGATTGCTTCAACATCCACAATCAACCAATGTAACATACAGTGTTGCTAGGCTAAGAAAGGAAGCCACGTAATCATCTCAACAGACATGGCAAAAGCATCTGACAAAATCCAACATGACAAAAATATTCAACAAACTAGAAATAGAAAGTTTCTTCCTAGGAATATTTAAGGCATATACAAAAAATCCACAGCTAACATTATAATTACTTATCGGCGAAAAACTGAAAGCTTTCCTGCAAAGGTAAGAGACAAGATGAGGATGACTGCTTTCACCATTTATCTATAATATTCTACAAGAAGGGCTAGTCAGATCAATTGGGCAAGAAAATGAAGGCACCTGGATTGGAAGGAACAAGCAAACCCATTTGTTTCTAAAGGAATCCACTAAAAAGAGAAAAAACAAAAAACAAACAAAACAGAACTACTAAATGAGTTCAACAAGGTTGCAGGATATAAGACCAACATATAAAATTCAAATGTATTTCTATAGTAATGACCAATCCAAAAGCAAAAATGTGAAACCATTCCATTTATAACAGCATTAAAAGGAAAAAAAATACTTAATAATTTAACAGAAGTAAAACACTTATATTCTCAAGAATAAATGGAAAACTATTTCACATTCATGGATTAGAAGACGTAATAGTAAGACGGCAATACTCTATTGATCCAGAGTCAATGCAGACCAACACAGAAACTGACAAAGTACAATACCATATGAAAATTCAAGAAGCCCTGAATAGCCTAAACAATCCCAAAAAAGAACAAAGAGCATTTACATTTAGTATTTTCAAAAGTTACCACAAAGCTTCAGGAAATAAGAAAGCGGTATTGGCACATGATTAAACATACAGTAGGTAACAACTGATAATCCATAATTAAGCTCGTATATTTATAGTCATCTGACTTTTTAAAAAATCAGCGCACAAGACAATTCAATGGGAAAAGAACACACTTTTTAAATTTTTAAAATTTTTTTGGTTTTTTGAGGCAGGGTCTCACTATGTAGTTGAGACTGACCTGGAACTCACTATGTAGCTCAGGCTGGTCTCAAACTCACAGCGATCCTCCTGCCTCAGCCTCCCTAGTGCTGGGATTACAGGCGTGTGCCACTACGCCCAGCCACGGATAGTCTTTTTAATAAACAGTTCTGGGAAGACCGTTTATGCACATGGTAAAGGAATGACACTGTACCTTACACCATACACAAAAAACTAACTTAAAATGGTCCCTAGACCTAGGTGCAAGAGCTAAAACTATAAAAATCTTAAAGGAAGAGCAAAGGGTAAATCTTCATGGTGGATTCTTCAATATAGCAATAAAAGTATAAGAAATAAAAGAAAAAGAAGAGTTAGATATCATTAAATTTAAAAAACACAAACTTTTGTACTTCAAAGGACACTATTGAGAAGAAAAAAAAAGAATACCCAAAGAATGGAAGAAAATATTTCCAAATTACAAAGGAACTGAAAACTCTTACAACTTAACAAAAAGACCTAATTAGGTATATATACTCAAGAGAAATGGTTATAGGTCCATCAAAGACTCATAACTGAATGTTAAGAGCAATAGTCTTCCTAACAGTCAAAAAGTAGAAATAATTCAAATGTTTATCAACAGATAAATGGATAAATGTGATGTGCCCATACAATAAAACATTATTTGTCAATAAAAAATAATGAGGTACTAATACATGCTACAACACAGAGGAACCCTAAAAATCTAAGTGCAAGAAGCCAGGAATAAGACGCATAAGAAGCCAATTACTGTACGAGCCCATTTATGAAATGTCCAAAACAGGCAAACTATAGAGACAGAACGCACCTTAATGCTTGCCTAGGGCTAGAGAGGGAGAGAAGATGTTTAGAGAGAAATCGGAATGACTGCTGGCGGGTACCAGAGCTTCTTCACAGGGCAATGAGAATCTATAAAATTCACAACTCTGATTATTCTGAGAAATCACTCAGTCATACATTTTAAATGGATAAACAGTAAAGGAATTACCATCCCAATAAAGCTGTTAAATAAAAAAGAAGCCACACTAAAAGAACCTTCCAGTAATACAATTAACACAAGGAACATATGTTAATAGGTGGCAAAATATACATGACACTGCTGTATCACTCCACGTATATTTTTAACAAAAAAGTTTTATCAAAATTATTTTCTAAGTGTAACCACAGCTATTATGGGGAAAAGTGATTTCCAGACTTACACATCCTACGCCTTGAAGTATAAGCTTCCATCAAATGTGTACTTTCTTCCACCACAAAAGGAATTGCTGCTCTGAACTACACAGAACAGCGCCCCTAATGTAAGAGACTCTTACGGAGGTGAAACAAGGAAGGAGGGCCAGGCATACTTACATCAGGTTCTAGGGTCACACAGCGCTGAAATGCCTTTGCTGAGCCTCCATAATCTTCCAAGGCCAAATAGGCACAGCCTAGAGAAAACCACACTCCGAGCTGCAAGAAACAGAAGTCAAAGTCATTCATACACAGTGACATAAATTTACAGGACACAATCTGCAGGTTTTTAAGATATTATCAACAAACACACCACTATAAAGAATTCAGAGCTATACAAGGTGCAATAGAAAACTATATTCAATGTTTAAGCTTTAAAAATATTTAGTACAGGGCTGGGGATTTAGCTCCGTGGCACCATGCCCAAGGTCCTGAGTTCGATTCCTGGTACCAAAAACGAAATTTAGTATATTGTCATTAATTCTCAAATAGCAGCCCTCACTTCAAACACACGTCCTACTGTTCTTGCCACTTTTCTGAAGAAGTTCTGGAAGTTCTCTTTCATGAGTGTCGTTATGAGGTGTGATCAAAAGATGTGAATGCTGAGACTGAATATCATCCAGCAGAAAAGGATTGTGCATCACAGTGTGTGCTCAATCACCTTATTTAAAGTTCTAGCAATGCACAACTTCTAGCTGTCCCCCAAAGTCAAAATGATCATGGAAAGGTAAATATTTTTAATCGATTCAGGACATCTAGGCAGCCAGGATGGTGCAACTAATAATCATGAAAGAGGACTGCTTCAAAAAGTGACAAAACGGAGGGGAGGGGAATGGGAAAAGATAAGAACCAAGATATGTCATGCACAGGCACAAATTCTCAGTGAAGAATGTGATCCTAATGTATATCTAAAACGTACTAACAAACTCAATGAATTAAAAAAGAGAGAAAGAGGGCTGGGGATTCAGTTCAGTGGTTCCGCCCCTTGCCTCGCAAGCCCAAGGTCCTGAGTTTGATCCTCAGTACCAGAGATAGAGAGAGAGACAGAGACAGTGACAAGAACAGTGGGTTAAGTGTGCACAAAAATGAGGTATTTTTGTGGTGAGTAATGCCATTGTCTTTGATAAATTTAAAAAATTTATTGTAGTCTTCAATCATACTTCGTATAGTAATGATTTGCCTTACATTTGTTTAAATGCGTGAAAATTAGCAATGGATATAAACTTCCTACCTCATTTTCAAAGCTAATGTAACTCTGAAAGCCTGCATAATTTTTTGTTTCACTTTTCTTTTTTGGTACCAGGAACTGAACCCAGGGCCTTGCACTTGCTGGGCAGGTGCTATGCCACTGAGCTACATCCCTGGGCCAAGCCTGTACAATATCATCACTCTCTTGTTGAGAAAGACCACACTCTGTTTACCAAATTCCTTAAAGCAATGGAAAGCTTTAATTATAAGCCTTCATATTAGAATCTGACATAAATCTGAGATTAATCTAATTTTTTACTGATCATCTTCTACATTAAAACAGCATACAAAGTATCAGCAAATTCACAACTGATGAAAGTCTCACAGACTTAAAAAGGACAAATTTCTGCTTTTATCTTCAATTAGGCCACAATAATGTTTGCAGTTTCACCGTGAATTCACCCTAGTATATGTCTACACAGGCATGCCTGAAAACAAAGGCTCAGAATCTGGGTTACCAAATAATCACACAAAACGTTAAATCTGCCTTAAGTCATTAAAATTTGGAAACACTAACATTTAGAAAAACAGGTAAAATAGGAAGTAGCTATTCAAATTACAAAAGAATTGTTTTACAACACACAGTTTCCTTAAAATTCAATAGCCCCTATCAAAAGGGAGATAAAACTGAAAAAAATTCCATGAAACCAGTCATAAATTCAAATATTATGAGTTGTTTGTTTCAGACATAGATAAGACAGGCAGCGGGAGATACAGCAGTATACTGAAGTCTCCTTTTTTTTTTTTAAAGGCAGTGTAGTTCAGGCCCCGAACTCACAGTGACCCTACTGCCTTGGACTCCCTGGGACCACAAGTATGCCAACACGACTGGGAAGTCTACCTTCTTAGTGACCTAATGATGGTGGAACAGAAGCAGAAAGGCAGGAAACCCTTCAGTAGGAAAAGATACGAGGTAACCATTATCTCCCCTCCTTCCTCAGAGGCAGAGACGAGGCTGCTCCCACATCCCCCGCTCCCTTAACCCTTCCCATATGGCAAGCGGAGGTCCCAAAGTTCCCAAAGTTCCTGAGCAGAGAAAGATTTTCAGCAACAGAGATCAGGCTCAGAAGGCAAACAACCTTGGGCAATGTAATACTTTGCCATCAATTCACAACAGCCCTACATAACCATTATCAAGAGCCTTTATGGAGAACAGATTTTGTTTGAGGCACAGGTAATGCCTGAAAAGAGGGTGGTGTGAGTCTGGTTTGGGGGTTGCAGGAGGTAGCAGAGGATGAGAGCAAAGCTACAAGTTCACTTATCTGAATTATGGCTCTTTAACGCAAAACCAAGCTCACTGCTCTGCTTTCATGTGGTTATTTATAGAATGAAATGAAAAAGGTTTCACTGCACCAAATTGCACTCGCTGAACCTGATGCAATCTGAGGAGCCCTGGAGGCTGATACTAACTTATAAAATATAGAATGCAAGCCCTCTAACTTCCAGCCAAGTTGAAAGTTTCAAAGCCTGTGTTACATTTCATCAATTCTAAAATACATTATTTTTCCACCTTGTAACATCTCTGAAATAGACACATCTTGTCAAAAGTTTCAAGAGCAGCAGTTTTTTATAAAGAGACTGGTACTGAAACCACATGTGCCTGTTACAATTGATAGCATCTTAGATATGATGACTTACAGTAGTAAGGTTAGCAGGAATAAAGGGACTGAATGCCCAAAGTTCTCCAAATGCATGCCCCTTGCCTGCTTTCTACAACAGCAAAGAACAAATAAATACTCTTTACCATGTGTTATAAAATCCAGGATAAAATAAAAATCTAAATAAGGAACTTTGTTTTTCAATCTACATAAAAAGATTTACAAAAGTTGCAAAGATTTAAAATTAACAATTACCATAAAGCAGTACTATGGCTCTCTTCTATTTTTACTCCTGGTTATTTTGTTGGGTAGCTGTATTAATAATTTGCATTGCAAGAAAAGCCTAAGATCAATTAACTAGTTTTTTGTTTGTTTGTTTGTTTGTTTGGTAGTACCAGGGATTGAACCTGGGACCCTACACTTTTGAGGCTGTGGTGGAACCACTGAGCTAAATCCCCCGCCCACTCTAGGATCTTCTAATTGCTCACAGCTGACCCATTAAATTATTCACCCTCTTGTTTCTCAACTGAAGCCCTCAGAATCTGACGGACTAAGGAGAATATTTGGTGCCTTTTTTATTTAAAACTATTATTTAAACTATAATTACTGATAATGACTGGCATCTTGGTTCAGAAGGGTCATACTGTTAAGACTAGGGCATCATTTAAAAAAATTCAAAAGAAGCCTCAAAAAACTCTCACACAGGGCCGGGGATTTAGCTCAGCGGTTCGGTGGCCTGCTTCGCAAGCGCAAGGACCTGAGTTCGATCCCCGGTACCAAAAAAAAAAAAAAAACTCTCACACAGCCCTCAAAGTAAAGCTGAAATGCTTGAGTATCAAGATTTTTAGCACCTAAGCTAGAGAACAGAATGTTACCCTCATTACATGTTCTGGTGGCTAAATTCTTTTCAAAAGTAAAGGGAAGGGTGGGGATTTAGCTCAGTGGTTCTACTGCCTGCCTTGCAAGTATAAGGAACTGAGTTCGATCCCCAGTACCCCCCGCCAAAAAAAAGTAAAGGGAAAATGGGTAAATTTTATTTTAATAACATTTAATTTTACATACTCAAAATGAGATTATTTAATGTTATTAATATGAAATTGAGATATCTTATATTCATTTTTTCCTACAAAGTCCTTGAACTCTGCTGTGTATCCAATACTGAACACATTCCCATTGGCTGGAACTATCAGCGGTACATGCACGACTCTCCCATCGGGGGCTTGTATGATCAGATGGGATGGTCCCGTGGTGCCCAGTGGAACCTCCACCAGCACGACAGCTGCCTGGCAGTGAGACATATGAATCAGAGTCCCATCGTGAATGTGTTAAAGCAGTCTCAACTCTGACTGGACACACTTCCAGGGGCCAGTGGCCACGGTATTGGGCAGTACTGTTCCACATTATTACTCTGAGACACGCACGGAAACCCTAGAATACCTTACACATCCTTCCCTTCCTTCTAGGGGCTCCTCCGGCTGAGACCCTCCCATGAACTCCCGGCTTTCACATACTGCAAGTACTCTTGCTCTTCTTTCTACACAACAGCAACCAAAATAATTAGCACCTAGTGAGCACCTATCTGTGTGCCAAGCGCTGATGCCATGAGTTTTCTATACGATACTTCCTGCATTCCTCAGGAAAACTGTGCAAGGTAGTAGTGTCATCCTTATTAGCAAGATGTGCAAAGGCTGGAGGGCAGCAGCAGAAGGAAGAGAAAAGCTGAAAGAAAATCTCTTATTAAAAGGACTGGTAAAGGGACCAAGATAATTTTTTGATAGGCTTTGGCTGAGATTTCTAAAGCACTCATTCCCAAGGCAAATCAGGAAGGCAAGCTTGGAACAGGTAGGCAAGGGCCTTTAAAATCTGGTAGACATCTGGGTGCTGCGGTGCATGCCTGCAATCCCAGCACTCCGGGAGGCGTAGGTAGGAGGACTGTGAGTTCAAGGATAGCACAGACAGCTTAGTGAGATCGGGTATCCAACAGGTGCTAAGTAACTGCATGACCTTGACCTTGTCATTTAACCTCTGGGTCTCGGTCTCCCAAGCACTAACTGATGGAGGTGGGCTAGGCTACAACTGCAAGACTCCAGACTTCCCTTATCCTGCAAACCCAGAGGTGACAGGGCTCAAAGATACACTAGTGCCATCTAGTGGCAAAATAAATGCAATGACAATACAAATAGATTAGTGTTTTTGGTTTGATCACTTTTTTTTCCCATTCATTTTATTGGTACATATTAGGTATACAATATACTAGCATCATTATTGGGAATTTGTACCTTTACATAATATATCCTGGTTCTTATTTTGTTCCCCTCCCTCTGCCCTCCCTTAAACCCCTCCACCCCTCCCTACTTACAAAGACTTTGTTTC